TTAAGTTAAGTAAAAAAACTAGCATGCTCCAAGTGCAGATTCATCTGTCTTGATGTGGTTAACTCCCTAAGCAGACGTTTAGTGAGGCCAAGAAAATCTTCCATTTCGTACGTTCACACTAAATCTCAAACTAAAGCTTCCTATGTTTGTAAACAAATAGACGGCAAAGCATTAAATCATACCAGCCCGATCTCCTTATATTGGGGAAATTTTTGTCAGTTTTGAGGGAATTTTGAAGCTGCCATTATCGAAATTTTCTGGGAAGTTTTCCCAGAATTTTCAAACACTTGAGGAAACCCAGCTATATTCAGTGATGAAACCCCATAATTGTTAACCCTAAAATTTTGGGTTTTTCACAACGTATGCCCGAAAGCTCCCCGGCATTTCTGACAAGTTTGGGTAAATTTATCTACGGTCTGTACCATTTTTAGTTCTCCTCAACCTGTTCATAAAATTCTAGGAAACCTATTGACGTTCTTCAGAAAAACCACTTCGGATTAACCATTTTCCAAAAGAACATACCAGCTTAATACTTGGCACTGACAATTTGCCGCGAATATATTTCTAGTTTTTCATCCAGTGAACTTCCCAAAATGGAAGCAGTTCGACAGCTATTAACCCACAGTTTTTAAAAAATCCATTCTGCTGCACACACAACAACGGTGTATGAAAGTTTTCTGCAAAACTAATTGCAAGATTCATTATGAACTGACATCCATATGTCAGATCATTTTTTTGACGGTTGTAACGCGTTGAGAATCACTGTGCACTTTGCTGACCAGACAATCTTTGAGGTATATTGCACAGTCAGACCTCTAGCTGGCGTAACTACGGGATCTAGAGTGTTCGGCTTTTTTGATGGTCGCACTCGATCATTTTCAACTCTACTGACGCATCTCCAGTTGTCTACAGAATTTTTGTGAACGACAGTTGCATTTAGGAGAGACTCAGGCTTGCTGAAAGAGCTCAATACATTTCATGTTATGATGGTGCCGAGCTTCAGTATATCCATACTAGTGTAGGTGTGTATTTTATCAGTACTATTATTGTTGAAGACCCTCTGTTTTGCTTCATTACTCATATTTATTAATCTGCCTCAAGACTTTAGTTTTTTCAGGTTCACTAACAACGTTTTCTGCAGAACTCTCAAGTATATGATAATGTTTGTCAGTAAAATAAAAAAAAACTATATGATTAAAACGGATAAAAAGCGAGTGGTACAAATGTTAGAATTAACTAAAACTAGCCTTGACGTGGAAAACTGTAAAAATGATACTTTTGTTGTATATAGTCACAGCAAAAGTTTGGGCAATGCAAATCACATGGGTACTAAACTTTCCGCTCGCGAAACTTGTGCCTGTTGCTCTAGCTTCCGAATGATCCAACTCGTTCATTTCTTGAATCACATGTTGACCATGTCAACTATTTGCTTTCTAACTTTGACTTCTTATGAGCGTATGTATATATTGCTTGACCTATTCAGTACAGTCCGAAGATTGTATTTATATGAACATAAATATTGAGTCACACTTTATCTGGATGAGCTGGCTCGCTGATCTTCCCCGCTTCCCTTTCCTGCTTTTCACTACAAATGTCGGTCTGGGTAAGCAAGTGCTTGGAATAAATTCGTCCAACGCAAATGACATTTGATTTCTTAGTATTGCAGTCACACGGAGGAGGTTAGCCTAAGTGAAATGTGGAGTCAAATTGAAGATATGTAATAGTATATCTAAGTGTTTATCAAAATTGGACATCCAAAAGTTGAAAGTTGAATGACTAAACACTGATTACTGTTAGGCTAGTAACGCGATCAAGGTTCTCAGTATGTTATATTTTACCATAGTCTGATTAAGGGGAGGCAGAAGTTCTATTTAAACATCAAGGATTTCTTTTGAAATTTATGAATAGTGTGGAGTGGCATTTTTCTGTTTTTAGTCATCACCTTCAAGTTTGATATCGTTTGAACACAAACTTCGAAGTATTGGTGGCTTGAGTTCTCTGTTAAGTTTATTGGAAACGTTTATTGATTAATTCAGGATGAGGTTCACACTGATGTGATCGTTTGATAATAATGTATGTCTGTTGAACCCAGAAGGTAATTCTAAAACACCTACAGAGTCAGATCAAGATAAATCTTTCAATGAAGATCGATTAACTGTACATTCCCAATATCCTAGGTGGAAACCTGTTTCCTGTTATTTAAATAGTTACAAATAATGTTATTCATTTCAGCCAAGACGTCTAGCACAGTACGATGCATCAGAGTTATATGCACACATGGACCATATTTTTATGTAAAAGTAGTGTATCGTATGACAAAAAGACAGTTTCAACGAAGGTTTTATTTTATGTTTAAGCTTGATCACTCGTCTTCATAAGTAAGCCACACTAGATACTTACGAAGATATAATGTGCCACATTCGACTATTATGTTATTCATAAGACGGTGTAGATAAATCCCATTTATCTTAAATGCCTTTTAGGAATTTTTAAAAATATATTTCGTCCGCTAATTTTGTAAAACCTATATCTTAAACATGATGATACATTATTAGTGAATAAAGTCCTCGAGTGGTTTAGCTGTAACTTGGATTATTGGATGAAGTACACCGAGATCAGACAGAATGACTTTTTTCTAAATAATGCAACATAATTATCGTAATCGGCTAGATGTCATAAGTTCTGATTCTGCTTATCTTGGCCTTTCATTAAATGGGCAGCATCCTGGTTTTGTATGATGAGTTTCAACTGAAATTGTAAGCGCTATTGTGTAACTACCGCAACTAAAATATGTGATAATTTAAAGTAGTAAAAATCAATCAATTTACCAGCAATAATTATAACTGTTCACTTGTGGTGTGTTCTAGTTATGTCGACATATGTGGTATATAGCGCTAGTCAGTAATATAATGTCTGGCAGAAGAATGTTGAGAAGACCAAGGAGGAAATAACGGAAAGGGAAATAAATCGGTATGGAAATGCAGGAACAATGAAGTCAGAGACAATTGTTGAACACTTTGCAGATAAAAAATTTATTGTATGATCCTCAGATTTTACTAAGACATTCTATAATTTTGTGTTCAAATACATTCGATTGTTCCCACGTGTATTTTTCGTGCCTTAAGGTAACCCTCGTGCTATTGATAGAAGAAACCAGACAAGTAGTGAATAAGTCTTTATTTGGATCTTCGCACAATCACAGTGGAGCGTTGGATTGTTTGTTCAGACAAACAAAGCTTTTCAACATTCAATATAAGACAATACGAAATATAACGCCTATGCAAAACAAGGAAGTGAATGAATACTTGACTATACTGTTTTGGCATATGCTTGATCGTTTGAGGTCAACTCTTAACCAACCAACCAAAGCTGTTACATATTCTCGTTTACTACACAATTTGTACACATGTAGTGAGGTGCAAGTGCGAAATAACTCTGTGAGCGCAGTCAAAGCAATGTACTTGGACTTAAAATTAGCCTCAGAATAGTATACAAAGAAATAGTCAGGTAGCGCAAGTACCAAGACCAAATAGCAATCTAGAGATTTCTAATCTGTTATGCAAATCATTATATTTGTTCGACGGTGTTTGGAGTTTACAATATGCATGATCTAAAATAGGTTGGTTGCCATTAGAATAGACCACGGAAACCAGAATGATATTCTATCGGTACTTCAGTTGTATATAATTAAACTAACGGTATTTAGAAATCGTCACTACAATCCCTGTGAATGGTCCAAGAACATTTTTATAGTACTATGCAACCCTTCAAGACTTAAAACATCTTAAATTCTAACGGGGAATCTTTTCTTCAAATAATCTTGACGGTGCTGCTTATGATACGAATTCACAATTGCTTGCTGCACGATATAAATCTCAACATTTCAACGTCGAAAGTGAAGACTCTTCAAGATAGGTATGCGTGAGTAATGAAAAATAACAACATGATCATTTAAATGAAAACGACTATATAGATTAGTGGATATTTCATCGCGCTTTGCAAAATGGACAGGGAATCTACGTTTAAGATTAGAATAGAAACCCTTTCGACAATCACATCTGGGTTTGACTTATAATAAGCTTCTATTTGCGCACATAGGAACATATTCTAAACTAATGCGCGGGTGAGTCCAAATATATCCGCTCAACATATAGCATGCGAATTGGGTTGATTAAAGGACTTCACGGATATTACTTAGATGACAACGCTAATCTCTGTATCACCTGTGGCATCTCCAACCTTTCAACCAAGGATTCTAAAGCCAGACGAACCAGGGGTTTCGTATGAAGCAGCTGGAAGGTATGATTTGGAGACCGATAATGCGTCGAAAAGGATATGATCTAAGCTGACTAATTGTTGTAAATAATGAGTAACAAGGCATCCGCGTGAAGATGCCTCTCAGATAGCATTTAGCCAAGTTGTGAAATCAGTGACATTAGCAAAAATGGTCAAGAATAACAGAAATATTTATTTTGAAGATTTTCATACGATTTCGCATTCCGACTTGACGTGTCAGTATTGTATATTATTACAAAACTTGTCATTGAAAGTCAGCTTTTCAATATTTTCGAATTATGTTTTTTTCATATGAGTATAAAGATAATCCATGGGACTGTATAATAATGTTAAATCGAGAGTGGAACTGTTTACAAGGAAAACTGAACATCAGAATCCAACTATGCAATACATGAAACGATCATTTCTGTATTTAGCCTCAAATGTCACTTCCAAACACGGAATAACGGACAGATAAGAAGAATTTTCATACTGAGCAACTGTAATGTGATCAAAAATGTAACAGGAATAAGTTTTGTTCAAACTCCTTATATTTTGGATGAAGAAATTACATTTGCAGGAATAAACTTTTGAACAACTTAAAAGCAAAGAATGAACACAGTTCAAAGTAATTTCTACATTCTCGCGAAAAATAAACAACGTCACGAGTCGTGTTTTAGTGCGCTAATTATGTACACTTATGGGACCTTGAAAGATACATTTTACAAATATTGATGAGTTTTCGCGCTCATTCTATAATTATCATTAGACAGCTATGATAACACCACAATTTTTCTACAACACGTTCAATAATATGGTGGTTAGCTCGATTGTTCATAGCAATCGTCAAGCATTTTTTAACTAAAACAATTAAATTTGATCGTTTTATTTGCTTCACTTTGTTATAAAATTCACACCAAGGATAAACTAGGATATTATTTAACATGCCTACATTATCCGAAAGTTCGAAGCCGCCCAATGGAGAGAATGGTTCCCCAGATTTGAGACATTCACAGAATTACTTGCCAACCAAAAACACTATTTTACATGATACCAACGTTTACGAAAATCAAAGTGATTCAAAAGATGAACAATGCGTAGAAAATCATTTCAAAGTTGATGGTTTAAGAAACGGTGCCGGAGTACCGGTAAAACCCAAATATGCTTCTGAAGCACGCATTTGTTTTCCAAGTAAATGGTCCAAAAACATAGAACCAACGCTTATGTGTATAAACTCATTAGATGATTTTTATAATCAGGTAAGTGCTAAAAAGTGGGAAGCTCATTGATGACATTGGCGGTACTTCGCGAAGTTTCCTCATATTTTGTTTAATATATCTGCTCTATAAACAATGATCTTTCGTATCTTAGTTATCACGTTTTATAAAGTTATAATTGATCTTGAAATATGATTTTGGATTAAAATCTCGAATGACATGATTAGAGCATTTTAAGCAACCAAGAAGAGATATGTATGGCTGACTCCTTCGTGTCACTCAAAAGTTGTGTACTTAAGGAGTAAATTTTTTTTACTTCGATTGAATTACTTATTAAACTATAAACAGAATGTATAATAAATACACCGTTTAGGTGAAAATCAAGTTACTTTGCTTGATAAATTGACGCATAATTGAGCTACACTGTATTATTTATAACAACCAATCAAATTGTTCGTACATGAATATGCATTTGATTCAATTACCAGATACAATACTTTCAGATGTGCTCACTTTGTTCTCTATAATATCAGTACTGGTATATACAGAACCCCTAGTCATTTCAAATTACGCTATTTCCAATCATAACAGGTGCTTGAGTCACACCAGATCACTGGAATAAAAATTTATACACTACGGTAGAGTCTTCGGACACACATCCATTGGCTACAGATAACATTTTAAAAATTACTATAGTTATCATTATATTATGACATTAGCTGTTATTTCATCAATAAACCTATGTTGATCAACTAACTACTTTTACTTTTATGCTGAACACGCTATTCAACCACGTAAAATTAACGGTTTGGCATTTTTAAATGAATCAAAGCAACAAATATGCGTACTTGGATGTAATTTGTGTGATTCAGAAGAAAAACGGAGTTCATTCCATAATCACGAAAACCAAAGTGCTAATCATCCTCGTCAGCAGGACCAAAACAGTAAAAGCGATCTATTAAATAAACAAATCAATGAGTTAACTGAACGTGAAAGTTACAAAATTAAGTGGGTTGAAAAGCGCAACGAATATGAAAGTGAAATCAAAGAGTTAATAAGAGCCAAAGAAAAGGCCACTCAGAAAAATATCAAGTATGAAGAACAGGTAATTTATAAGGGAAGCATTATAAACGTTTTATCATTTCAATATATTTCGTCAAACATGTTTTAGAATGTACTCAAGACTGTTTATACTGCACTGACAAATCCATAGAATATAGAAAACATTTTTATAATTTGTATACATAGCCTTTTGTCATCTATTTGCATCTTGTGATGCAAACTGTCTTCTCTTCTGTCATTCAGCTGTTCTCCCTATACTTTGTTTTCGATCTACAGAAATCCTCTCCTTGAACTGACAACTCTTACAGCCTTGATGCCACGTTCTGTCACACATACTAAGAATTATTCATGTAAGGAGCGTCCATCACAGTAGGGAAAATCCTCGAATCAATTTTACTTCTCCAAATACTTTGTAATCTTTTGTGTCTATTGGTAACAACATTTCCATGACACTTTTTTAAAATTTATTTGGACATCTTTCATTTAATTGTTTATTGCTTCGATGATCTCAAAATTGGTTAATTTAAAAAGTGTACTAATTTGTTCAGTCTTGCGTCATAACAGTCAGTTTAATTTTTCGAGCTTTTCTGAAAAAATGAATAAACTTGGATGATTATCAAGGAACTTCTGAATTTTTGAAACTTAAAATTTATTTTTACGTAGCCTGGTTAATTTAAAATGTGATTATCATAAAATTTAGAATCGAAAAGGTTTTGAACTATCTGTTGCTTATTATGTCGTAGATTTGGGCTCATCCAGCTGGCCCCAATCACAAATCCTCCTGGTATATAAGGACAGAGATCTTTCCTTGATAACCACGAAAGAATCAGACTGACTAGTATATTACCTAAAATACCAGCCTCTATAATCCTTAGATCGCTAATTAAGCTTGTGGAAAGTAAAATCGATAAATATGGTCTGACTTCAGACCCAGATATGTATGCAATAACCAAATGACTACTCTTCATTGCTTTTTAGAACGTAGGTATACTTGTCTATGTCTAACCACAATTGTAGCAGAACTACTAATATCAAGTGGTCGCCGTTGTCGCCCACTGTGTTAGTTTTTATTGAATTTCGTCATAGATTTACTCTTTGGAGCTACCATTTCTTCACCTAGCTTCCAGTAGTTGATATACTATCAGGAAATTCATTTATCTACTTAGAACACTTAAATGTCATAATTCTGTCAGTTAAAACCGACCCGATGAATGGTCTACTGATCTTCTTAAGGAACAGCAGATGTATATTTGGTGCGTTTCTCTCCTCCTCTTCTTGTGATATGTTACCTATTGACTTTTCTGTGCCAATTACGACGCTAATTATAGATATTGAAGTATCTGAGTGTCAGCCACTTTAATTTCCTTGGAAATCTTGTCAGATTTAACGGGTTTTTTCCGGAGAAATCTCAGTACAGACTAAAAACGCCTCGTTGGTTTTCATCAATTCGCATCACTTGTGGAGTAGGCCCTTCATGTTTAACTCCTTAAGTGTGAAACGTGGTTTTTTAAAACAAAAATCTTCATGGATTACTTGTCATCTGATTATAGATTTATTCGAAATATTGCTGGTATGACCAAGCAGGCAATAACAAATTTAGGAACAGAGTACTAAGCTGAGTCAATGAATCAGTCGATCAGGCTTGTGAATGTTTACTGGTTGACGTAGCTAGGGAATGCGTGACGTATATTGGTGAGAAAATAGATTGGAAGAAAGGATCTGACCCATGTTGATGGATGTAGACTGCCCAGTAATGGTCTACACAACAATAACTATCGGTGACAGAACACTTTTAATAAAATGGCCAAGAATAGGTCCCAACGAAAAAGACACATCTACTCTTTATCATCTAGATCCCGAGCTCCAACATTTCTCTATGTAGGCCTTCTTGCTGTCTTTTCTTACCAGATTTCGAATTTTCAGTCCCTCGTGTTATAATTACTACCATATTACTTTGATTGTTTGCTATTTTTTCAGTTAATTTTTTTATGGTCGTGTGGCATGATATCTAGGACCAACACAGGTTTGCGCCAGGCCCTACGTTTTTATGACTGAATTACTGATCCGAACCCATCTCACTATCTTGGCTTAGTATCAAAATAATATTGTTATTCTTTTCTCAACAGACATAAATTACGTTTTCGTTAATAAACATATGTATGATTTGCGGTTGCATAGATGTGTAGATTCTTTTAATATGAGATTAAAGATAGTTGCTCAATAATAAAGTTACTAGGTGAGACTAAATTTATTATAGTAGTACTTATTTCTGTTACATCATTTGAGAACAATATTTCAATTATAATCTGACTCTATGTCGATCTATCGGAAACTATATATCTTACTATAAGTCCCAAAAGAATATTGTATTAATAAGTTAACAACCTTATTTTCTGAAACATTTGTCGTTTATCAACTTGTCACTACCGATAATAATACACAGATAATTAAATGACTATTACAATTGGTTCAGATCATATGTAGACTAAATGTACCTAAATAATTTTTCATTATTTGATGTAGTGTTGCTCTTGACCACTTCTTTTAGTTTACAATTAATTTTTCTGAAGAAACTCAAACTGTTATCAGTTAAAAAACAAAAATATAGTGCTTGTTGTTGCGTACAATTTAGCAAATAAAATATTCCATAAACTACAAACCTCGAGACAGAGAGTGGTTCATTTAAACATCCTTCATTATGTGTTGATTGCTTTGAGTGGTGGTCACTATTGTTATTATTAATTATTTGACATTATTTATACGGGTAGTCTGTTTAACCCAGCATATCACTGGTTTCTTCCTTGTTTATTCAGATAACCGAATTAAAAAATAAGCTCAGTTCAAAACAAGAACAGATACACAATTTATTGATTGAATTAGAACAATCTAATCAAAGATTAAATGTCATCGAAACACAATTTAATGCTTACAAATTACAAACTAGTCAGAATGAAGAGAATTACCAAACCTTATCGCGTGAATTCGTGATTATGAAACAGTGTAAAGAGCAGGCAGAATTGAATGCAAAAAATTGTGAAAACAATCGGTTACTATATGAGAGACGAATGAAAGAGTTGGACGACAAGTTAAATGTTATCTTGAGTTTTTAATCTTATAAATTTTGATTTGTAGGGGCTTTCCTATTTGTTTAGATATGATATGTCCATATACAATACATTGTTCAATATCTGAGTTTTCAACATTCTTTCATCAGATGGTTCGTGGAAATTTCGGACATTTTGATTTCATATACTCCCTTAAATTACCCTATTTCTACTGCCACTAAAATACATCCATTTTCATCAACGATTAAAATCTCAATGCGGTGTACCAGCCATTTGAGCTTGGAGAAGCCTATCAGCTTTTTTGGAAGGAAGATTGTTACTTCGAGGCACAAAAGCCACCATAAATATACTCATGAAACATCCTTCCTTATACTTATTGATTAGGCACTTGGAAACTATCTGTTTTTTTGACAACAAAGTAACATATACTTACTTGTGATTATTTTCAAATAAATGTTAATTGCTCTACAGTGATGGAATCCATATATTGTTAATATATCTAGATCAGAGAACCCGATGACTGTGACCATACTAATTTATCCCACTAATCAAAAATTAAGATGTTAGGTTTCTATTTTGACACAAACGTTCTGTATAAGTGTGAAAATTCATATTTCTGCCATACATTAAGATGAATACACGAAGTTATCCACTAAAATATAGTAAATTTTCAACATTAGTGGTATATTTATATCCAAATTTTCGTGGTTTTTTTGAGGAAGGAAAAACAAAATATTTGTTCTGACATCGGTTTGTGGTGACAATTATCTTCAGAAAAATGAATGATTAATAATATTTATGTGACATTCTGCAGCAACTTCAAATAATCGTAGTGTTATGGCTAAAATAAAATGGATTTCGTGACAGAAAGAATTAGAAATAATACGATAGAAATAGTGATGATTTTTACAGTCAGTCGTATTTAAAAATTCAATAAAAGACTGAAAAGTCTTTCAGTTTAGCTGTATTTAGAAGTCTATATATTTTAACCCCCGAATGAAAATTTTTTTAAAGATATCCTTCGAATCTACAAGTTGTTGTTTCTTGCCTTCCTTATCACTGAAGTTTGTTAACTCTCAAACTGGCTTTATTTGTTCATGCATTTGATGATTTATATTATAAAAACTATTTTAATTATTATGAGTTATTCTATTGTCCAAAACATCATTACAGATTGTGCATGAAAATATTAAAATACAACAAAAAATTATTTTAAGTACGAAGTTTTGCAAATTATGATCTTTTTTCCTACTATTTCAATCTAAGATCAATAACATAAATGATTTTTTTTAGTTATGAACAAAGTAAACAACGTTATTATGACGATATAAAAGGACTAATGAATCAATTGGATATGGAACGTTCAAGGGCTGATGAACTCTTGCAAAAAATTGAACATAATCGCCGCCAAAATGAAGAACAACTTAGAACCGTATGATTATTTTATAATACATATGTATATACTTCATAATAAATTAGTCTCTTTAATAGTATCAGGACAAGATTTTCAAAGTCCATCATGATTTATATTTCCAGTGTTGTTCAGGCTGTATACTAAATTGTATTTGGCTTTTTAAAAAATATGTTCAAAGCAACTTTTTCGACACAGAATCTTTACTCTGATGGAAGCGCAATTACTTTCCTAAAAAATTGTATTAGTTATTAGTCTGATTTGATAAATTTATTTATAAAACTGATAAGGGATATTTAAATTCTTGTGGAAATGTTAGACATTTCCTTTATTTTCAGCTAATTATTACCTTTAAATTTTCTTGACAGTTTCGAATTTATTAATGTTTATTTGTCTTTATAATTGGTATGATAATTAAATCGTAATTTTTTAAATAATGGGATGATTGTTTAGAAAGTAATTATTCTGTATTATCATGCCTAGTAAAAAATGCTTGTGTAGCTAATAATTTGTGCAAATTAGTTTATGAACGGTGCTTAATGTTTCATTGTGAACACCTTAGTTCTTATGATAGTCTAGGTGCTTAGAAAAAACCTGACGGTAATCCGTTATATTAAGTCAAATTCTTTAATATTAATGAGTAATTATTATATTATAAGGGTAGTATTCATCGTGTATTTGCTTCAGGTGGGATACTATTACAGTTCATGATGCAACAGTAATATCATTCAACGAAAATCTAGCAGTAAATTCAGATCAAAAATTTCTTATACTTGATTGCTGAAACGCTTTTCATCTAAACTTAAACGATATATTCCACGGATTTTAAGGCTGAATTTGCGGCGTTAAGCTGATTTTATCAGTACATTATAATGACACTGCTGATACAAACAGTTACTGCGAATATAAATAAGGATGAAGAGAACAACGCTTTGAGTACAAACGACTGATAGTTTGGTCTTTAGAATGAAAGGATTCAGCATATGTGAAAAGATTTTAAAACATCTGAAGCATAAATTGAAAATCGTTTGCAGTAAGATGATAAGACCCTCATAATCAAACAACTGTGGTAATAGAAAATAACATCAAAAGATAAAATATATTTTACGCATATGAAGATCCTCTATTTAATAATCTGTACCATTAACGCCGATACTGTAGATCGAACAAACTCAACAGAAGAAACTAGATACATTGTTGGAAGATGGTCAAAAGGAGTTAAGAAAACAGCTAGCTGAAGCGAATGAACAAATTAAAGAGCAACAAATAACAATATTTAATCAAGAATTAAAAATTTCTGCAATGGATTCAGATAAAAATGAGGTTAGTGTATAAATTGATATACGCATCGCTGACAATCTAGTCAGACATTTTCTAAACAATGTGGATTTATTAAGCAAACACAACTATAAAAACATGTGTAAATCCATCCAGTTTCCAATAAGGTTCTTAATAACATCGAATATTTTGGGTGGTTACAAACAAGTACAACTGTCATTGAATACAGAAGTCTATAACAAAATAAAACTAATTAAAGTTCGGAGTTTAACAGTAACCCATAGATTATATTTGTTGAGTATTGAGATAGTTTATTGGTATATTAGGCTTGAGAATGTAATCGCGATTTCAGTTCACTGGTATATAGGAAATCGAGAGGTACTTGGTCTAAACCCTTGTTTGTCCGTTATTTATTAAGTTCAAGCTAAAGTGAAAGAGCTGTTCAGTACGCATAGGTTTAATTGATTCTCAAGTTGATGTCGATATGTGATAAAAAATTATCTTCTTTAGTATTTTATTGTTGTTTCAATCGAACCGCAAATAAAGAACTCTTTGGCTTTTCACTAAATTTGCGAATGATTTTTCTGTATGTAAATGGAATGAAACAAAGCTAGATAGATCGATTAAGGTAATAATGAATTACTCTTCGTTTATTACACTACAAACTAAACAAACATCCAAGTTTCATACTATCACATATAAACTCCTACTCAAACTAAATTAATAATGATAGGGTATAAAGATTTAACTTACAAAGATAAATTTGAAACCTGAATTCATCACACACTAATAAAATGTGGAAAGTTTGTCAAACAATACTTGTCAATCATACATTTATTGGTTATAATTCGATAATTTATTAATAGAGGTTATTGAACCTTACCTATATTTTAAGTTTGGTAAAGGTTTTCAGTTTTAAAAAAATTTCATACAAGCTAATCCTTTCTGTTAAATGAGATATCGAGTACAGTTTTATTGTAGTGCTTATGGTTTATTTCCCTTACTTAAGTTAAAAGTATTACTTAATGAAATGGTTATCAAAAGTTTACTATGGCTCATGACCACTTTTATCAAGATCCATCCTGTTGCTTATAGCCTACTAAGCCTCCAAATGAATTTTATATAATTTATTATTCTATGGAATACTATTTCAATTGTATTTTGAAGAATAGCTAATGCTTGAGAGTATTCAAAATAATCGAGCTTTGAACCAAAAATTCGAATTTTTGAGAAATATTAAGTTGAATATGAGACCTAGATATAAAATTTCTAGCCGTTAAATTGATATATCTGAGCCTTATGGTGATAAATTATGATGTCTATCAATTTCATTCTACCTAGGAATTTAGCTGAAAAATTTTTGTTCAGAAATAAAAGCATCCAAAAAACATCAACAACAAAATATTAAATTAAATTATTTTGTGTGTTGTAAATCTTCTACATACTTACAAATTCAAATTCATGTGTAATACGCATAAATTTATTTGGGTTGTAGTGAAGGAGAACACAGATGAGGACAATCAAACTTTATTTAGTACAAAATTACAGAGTTACTTGGTAAAATAAAAAAGCCATACTATCATACTTAATTTGCAAAATGTTCAATAACTATCCCGAACTTCATTGTTCTCGCATTTCCATACTAATTGCTTTTTATTCCCGCTCTTTTTTTCTTGATTTTCCCCATCTTCTGCCGCCAGACATTACATTCCTGACTCGCGTCATATACTACTTATATCAATATAAGTAGCACGCACCACAGGATTATTAGAGTAAAATAATAATAATTACTATCTATTTTCATAAAAGTTTAACTCATAGGCTAAATATAAATTTGTAAAGCATTTTATTTATTTACACAAAAGTTAGTGAGGTATATTTAGAAGACATGAAATGAAATGGATCTATTTCATTTCATAATATTTTGTTGGTTTCACTTCACAAATTGTTGTCAAAGGAAGCAAATGCATGAAATAAGAATTTTACGATCTAAAATTAGATATTATTTAATGAGTAGTGAAAATTTGTTTTTATTTCATAAAGATTTGAAAGTATTAACACTTACATTATAGTGTCCCAATCAACGAGTAAATTGTTTATTTTCAATACCCTTAATTGAATGTCACATTTGTAAATTTAATGTTCTTAATCGTTGATGTTGTGTTGTATGTTTCGTTTTTTTTGTTTTATTAATTTTTAATCAACAATTTCAATGACATAAAACTTCCTCTTTTTTTCTTTAAAGCTCATAAAAATCAATCAAAAATCAACAGAGGAACAATCAGATCTTCGTGAACAAATTAAGTTGATTGAAAATTTATTAACAACAAAAGATCAAGATATTTCAATGATGCAATTTGAATGCCGTCTCTATGCTGATAAATTGAAACAAACTGAATTGGAGAAAAATCATTTCATCGAAAAAGAACGATTTATAAAACAAAGATATCAAGTAAGATGATATGGCATATGAGCTTCGATTCACGCTCCCTATTTATATCATACTGTGCATAAGCTTACTTCATGAATTTATAAAACTTGTATATAATCAAACTGTTCACTCACCTACATTATAAGACAATTCTATCAATACAATATAGATATTAGTTTTCATACTATCTTTTTCTAATTTAGAACAAAGCCAAACGTGCATGGGAACAATGTCAAACTACTCGTACACGTTTAAGTAGAAGACTTGTTCATCTACGTTATAACAGAGATTTATTATCAAAACATTTAAAGAAACAATACGAACAAATGAATCGTTTGAATAATTTATTTTGGGAAACTGGATGGGCATATGTTCAATCACAAAACTCTCTACAAAATATCAATAGACAAGAAAAGGAATATGTAGATAAAGAAATGCAAACAATTTTAATTAATAACAAGATAAAACAAGTAAGATATGTTAAACTTGTTAAATACATGTCTCCGATTACGATTGTTAAGAATCAATGGTTTTATAACCTACACAGATGGAGTAATGATTAAATCTACCCATTTTACATAAGTAACCATGACGAAATGCGGAGATGGTTTCCTGTAGAAATAGTATTATAGTGTCATTTTTTATTACTGTAACTGAAAGTATATCTACTAAGTTTACTTGTAGTGGTTATCTTCAGTTTGATGGATATGTTATTTGAAATGTAAGAATGCCAAACTTTATTCACTAATATGTTCCTGTTTTTGAATATATATTCTTAATAATTTGCACATATTCAGATATAAGGTTGTAGTGAATATTCTTCAATGGTAAATAAGAATATGCTGAATAATTTTTTTTGTTTTCAATGTTTTCTAAAGTATATGCTGCAGAAACTTTTTTTAATAAATACTTGGTATTTTTAGCGGTTTATTTTCCAAAAGGACTTGAATCATCCAGAAATTCTAAAGTTAAAAGTCAAATAGAATTTTTCCACAGATAATTTTAATGACATACAACCTGTAATGTAGTAAAATGCGATAAATCATTATTTTGTCAAAACGTTCAACCTCCAAAAATGTTTAAAAATAAGTAAAGTAGAATCATCACTTTCTGATGAAACTCTACCTAATATAGTGTCTAATTCAGTTACATACGGTGTACATATAACATTTTGATGCAATACTCTGATGCAGATGTTCCTTCATGGATGGAAATATTTTATGACTGCACTTAGTGTGTATTTAATATATCACTTTGAGATTATTCAATTATAACAGGTGTACTCCATAAAAGTTTTAATTACTACTTTTATAAAAGGTTTGAGTATGAACTATAAGTTGTAAACATCTTTGTTCACCCATCCATTTCTCTTTATAATTTAATCGTTTTATATAACAGTTGATGTACTTGTAAAGATCTGCACGGTAGCAATATTTTTGAATGAAAGTTTTCTCACGTATAGATGATCTTTTTCACATAAAAGCTATCCTATTAATTATGTCTGGCTTTTAAGGAAGGATGGTCTCAATATTCACAGGTTTCTGGGACAATATGAGATGAATTACCTCCAGGTTAAATATATCTCTCTAAACAACCACTGTTGATAATGTAATTAATTCAGCGAATACAAGTTCGTGTATTTAGATAATAAGCCATATCTTATATATAGATTCAGTCAGTCAACTACAACGTAGGACCAGGAACATATATGTATCAGTCCATGTTGCCGTACCGCACTACCACAGCAAGATGAACGCCGGATTCATCGGAGTGGTTAAGTCAATGGTGTTAATATATAAAGAGAAACATCTTGTATAAGGATATAGTACAGGAAGAGAGAATTAGTAAGTAGAAAGAAAGGTATAAAGTGACTTTAATCTCAGGGTTTAAGGGAAAACAAAGATTGTTTACACCTATGCCATTGTGATCGATTCTGAGCTATGACACCAAGAAACTCCAAACATTGGTTACGGTAGTCGCGCGAACCTCAACCAAGTAGTCTGAGTCTACTAACATGGCTCACGCCACGAGTTAGTGACTTGGAAGACTGATGCCACGTGTTGGTTTAATCACCCATAACTTTCTTCCAACCATTCCCAACACTAGTCAGCAGTGCGCGTCGTGATAATCAGTGTTCAGGCATACGTAACACGTGACCCGACCATTTCAGTTGATGAATATTCACAAACTCACCAACTGACTTGCCATCGTTCCCTAATGCCTTGCGTCTAACCTCACTATTACTTACCCAGTGATCTCAGTAATATTTCTAAGGCATCTGTGATCAAATGCTAGTAGCTTACGAGTATCTTCGACTCAATTTATTCATTTGAACACATAAATATTGGTACAAGGGGACACCAAATATATATGCGCCACACAAAACAATGAGAATGGGAAAAGAAAATGGGTAAGGAGCTTAAAGGAAAAAAAGAACAATAACGAACAGATTAATGTACGGTAGTGTAATAATAATAATAATAATAATAATAATAATAATAATAATAATGGGGGAAACGGAGAGGTACAATCAGAAGAAATCTTTCAGCTAATGAAGATACAACCATGAAGAAAGCAAAAGGAGGTTACAGCAGGATCGCCACTGGCTTCTATTCTGAGCCATATCTGACAACGTCTCTAGCCACTGTGTTGCATCATCTCTAGGACCCCAGCCAGGGAGTCGTGAAGGACCAACAGAAGCCAGTCCTTTGCAGCTTTCTTTCATACCACGACACCATGTCATGAACTGACCACCTCTCCGCTTCTTCCAACCAGTCCCAGAGTCGGCAAATAATGCACGACGTGGAATTCTCTGGGACGATATTCGGAGACATGTCCAAGCCACCGAAGTCGGTGTTTCAAGATGGTGACACCAATTGCATTATCATCTCTGTGCCCGAACACACGATGCCGAACCTCTGCATTACTAACATGGTGTTGCCACTGGATGTCAGCAATCCTTCGGAGACAGCGACGATCGAACACAGAGAGTTGTCTAACGTCCTCCACTCCGAGAGGCCAGGTTTCACAAGCATTGAGCAAAACTGCTCTCACCGACGTGTTGTAGATCCGACCTTTTACAGCCAGACTAACGTCACGAAGGCGCCAAAGATGGCCTAGATTGGCATAAGCCGCTCTGGCTTTCACTATTCGTGCATTTATCTCATCACTCACACCCCCACCAGCACTCATGCAGCTACCCAGATACACGAACTTCTCGACTACTTCTATCTGTACAGAAACGACGTGAACCCTTTTTAAAGATAAGGACAACTGTCGACTCATTCCATGACGTTTGTACACTATCTAGCTCACAAACCTTTGTAAACAACGTCGTCAGTTCCTTAGCCAGAAAGTCAAAACCAGTGATCTCAGCAATATTTCTAAGGCATCTGTCATCAAATACTAGTAGATTACGAGTATCTTCAACTCTTAATGGCCATGTCTCGCTGCCGTAGATTAAAACAGAACGAACTTCTGCGCAGTATACTCGTTTTTTTATTGAGACGGATGTCAACTTCGCCATAGGTGACGGAAGTTGGCAGAAGCCAAACGAGCTTTCTGAATCCGTGCAGAATTCCGTCAGACACCCGCCCATCATGGCTGATCAAACTTCCAAAATAAGTGAAGTTTTCAACGCGTTCGACTACTTTACTCCCTATCCTTAGTTCACGTGTTGATGCAGGCCAATCCTGAAGCAACAGCTTGTATTTAAAGGGGGAGAAGCGCATCCTGATATTGTTGCTCAGTGCTACAACAGGACACTGCATTTTACCGGCGTCCTCGTCAAACAGGACTGTGTCATCTTTGTATTCTAAGTCGATAAGTGGATCTCCTGGTAGGAGATCAATGCCCGAGAATTCTGTCGACGATGATTCTGCCCTATTACGTTTACTGAATTCGGTAAAACAAAGTTTGAGTCTGAGATTTTAGTCATTGAAAACCAAGTGACTCAATTACTAAATTATTATGAGTGGCGATTACTTAAAACAAGAAATTACTTTTTGTAAACACTGTTGTTAAGAAAGTAGTTCCATCATGTACACCGATTAGACATCGGGATGATCTAAAACGTACCCGATGAAAACTGATTATAACTCATCAAGTGGTAACTATAACATGATTTGTAAAGAAGCTCTAGTCAATTGCAAAAGCTGATAATTAACTGGAAATATCAGAGTTAAAGCACATATCATGTTGTACGTGCATTATGCTACCTACCTTAATGAATACATGGAATTCTAACCTTGATATTGAACGATCAATTAATTGTAACTGAGTAGCTATTTATTTACAACCAATTGAATTATATGTAAACATGTAATTTATTGAATTAGTACTAGTGTATTCCTTGTATTACCTACTTTTATTACGTATCATTTTATTAACAAATCAGTAGTTTATAATATAGGTCTATTCTAATATTGTTAGTTTACGGCATAAAATTCGTGAAATTTGTGAAAGTCATACACTCTTTGTTTCATCTTCAGCCTCATGTGACTATAGACCAGATTGTACAGACTGACGCTTCACAGCCGGATAACGATGCTAAAGATGACACAGTGATATCATGCGCTATCACATGGATTTCAAATGATTTAGAAAACTTGACAGGAAAGTTGGAGAAATTGCTTAAATATCACGGAAAAGGTTGGTTCTTTTCCTTACTTTATGCATATGTCAGTACAATGAGCTTCAGTTATTATTAATCACGGTAACTTCCAGTTGCCAACGTACGAAGTAGATAGTTTTCATGTAGATACACTTTAAAACGTATACAACTACGAAATATTTCATTTGTAAATAATCCATTCGAATAATACTAAATAGGTTGGCTACGCTAGGAGATAGTAGTATAATCGAGCGGAATATGTTGAATACAATCCACTCTTCTTAACTAAACATGACTACTGAACGTTTTAAAAGTCTCTGAAGACTATTTTTCGAAACACCTATAGAAGAAAAGATCCATGTTTTACGGAAGAGTGTATATGGGTACCATAATGCGAACTGTATAGTGCTAAAAAAAATTCCATAGTACAACAGCTGATTAACAAACGTATTGAATAAAACAATTTATAGATTTCAAGACAGCTATCTCGTTTCCATCTTTCCAAGTAAATTATGCCGTTTTACCATATTTTGAATTCATTTAAAAGGCCAATATGACACTATATTTCTAACAGTAAATACTTCAGATGTGCGTAATTTAACCTAATATTTGTTTTTAAATAATGGTACAAATTATTATGAGTTCGCAAATTAAAACTGTATGTGGTGATATAAGGAGTTCCACCTAAAGAAAATAGACTACTCACACAGACATTTATTTTTAAAGCTGGTCCGCAGATTCCACTTTTAGGAAACTAAATACCTCAATCTTGATCAACTTACGTTTTCTGATTCAAAATAACCATTCGATAAGTAGCAATTACTCTTTTTTAGAATGCCATATACATGTGACTACTAAGTGTGACTACTTAAACTATAATTTGATCTATTCACGGTTTGTGTCTGAATATAAAGACTTTAGTCTCAATGCATTCATTCTTAAGTTTCTACTAGTTTACAATGATTTTGCTGGCTTTCATAAGATTGATATATGCTACAAAAAGCGTATCACTGGTGATACTGAAATAAAAATCTAAATAAAGTTATTATCATTATGAGGTAATAAATTCTCACTAGATACATCTAACTGTAGCATTTTCAAACTAGTGAATTAAGTGTTTCTTACGCGTTTTTCTAAACAGAAAACTCCAATGATCAAGACCTAGACAACGAAGAATTTCATATAGGATTTAGTGAAAAAGTATCTCTGATTTCACTGATTCTTGAATTAAAATGCAAAGTGAATTGGTTAAAAACGTGTTTTAATCAATTAACAGGATATACTTTTAGAAAAAACAGTGAAGTGAGTTAAAACTATCATTTCATGAATAGTATGAAAAATTTAGGAAGAAAGTTGTTCAACGTGTTTATTCCAGTCATTTAGTAAAGGACAATGAACATATTATTGTGCATGTCAAAAATAGGAAATAATAGAGTACACTGTAATTAATCAATAAGATAAAGATGTAGAAAAAATTCCAGTAGTCAGTTTGTTTTGCAATATAATAAATCGTTTAGTTGAAAAAAATATTGGCTTGCAAGAATAACCAGACAAGAGTTTATTCGCTCACATCAAAGTGTCGACACACTATAAAATTATGTTGATAATCAATGGGATTAATATGGATTGCATAAATTATATCACTGCACTGATATTCTATATCCAGTAATCTTTATTAAAAGGCCATATCTTTATCGAGCTTCTCATGAACCCGATATCTATTTCTTTTGCAACTGCATAATTGACAGAGAACTATATATATATATATATATATATATATATATATATATATATATATATATATATATATATATATATATATATATATATATATATATATATATATATAGATATATATATATATATATATATATATATATAGATAGATAGATAGATATAAGGATAAAAGGAAGCACTGACTTTTAAAGCCTTACAAAAGTAATTCTACCATCATGGAAAACATAAATTAATTTCGTTCCTTAAAATAATGAGTGATGAAGTATAATCTAAAAATTTATTGCTTTGAAAAAAATATTACATAGAGAAATCATTGCACTGTGGTGTGCTACTTATATTGACATAAGTAGTATATGATGTTAGCCGTGAACAAAAGGTCTGGCAGCAGAGACAAGAGGATCGAACAGTAAAGAATGGAAACAAAATGCAATTTGTATGAAAATGCAAGAACAATGAAGTCTAAGTCATTTTGAGACAATCGATGGACATTTCACAAATTAAGCATTTACTTTATGATTGTTAGATTTTACAAACATAACCAGACAGATATAAAGCTTTTGGTAGATACTTCATGCATCCTTAACTAATATTTCATAATTTTGGTAGGAAATATATCAGATGTTTTAAGATCCAAAACGGTGCGATGTATAGTAGGAGCTAGCAAAGATTCTCCGCTCATTTCAATAATAAATTTTTCTTCAATAAAATATAGCTGTACATAACTTGTTATTGTCTTTATTCTGAGTTCTTCAACAATGGTTAAAGTGATTTTTTCTTGTGAATGTTCTAGTTTTCACATACTTGTTTAAGTGATATGTAACGAAAAATCCTGGTTTATTTAATGAATTATAGGATATTTTGATTGAATGGAAGTCAACGTTTTTAGTCAAAATGAAGCAAAAACCATATTTGTTTAAGATGATAAGGTTTTTAAAAGATATCGGGTTAAAGTCAGGTTCACATGCTGTAATACTTACATTTTCATGTTCACAGAGTACCTCATAACAGAATCATAAGAATGTATGTAAATAGTAACCTTGCCTACGTTTTCTTTAGTTATCAAGCAAAAATAACTTAACTAAATTGGAAGATATTAAAAGGAATTTCGAGAGTTCGACGAGCAACTTGAAGTTGTTATTAAGTCAAATGGAAACTGATGCACTAGAAGACGAATTATCATGTGTCGGTAAACTAGCCCAAACAACAGCAAATCAACTGAAACTTAGTCACTCAAGGTAAGTTATGAATAAGTTTGCCGAGAACTTGTGTTGTATTTGTTTTTACTTTTCATCCTAATTCAGTAAACATAACGTTGTTATGATACTTCAAATCCAATTACCTAAAGTAGAATAATTATTACACAGTAAAAGTAGTTTGGGCTTTAAATAATTACTGCTAAAGTTATTTGCGATGTGTATTTGTAACATATTCAAACGAATCTTACCAAAGAATTACTTTTTTATCAGAAATAAGAAATATTGTAGTGTGCTATAAAATTCCATTCAATATGCTTTTTATAAACTGAAACGTAGACAGGATTTATTTTCATAATTACAGTTCGCTTTACTAACTTGGGAAAAAGAGCTAGAGTTTAATCATGAGAATATTCCACTCCCTGCCAAGAAAACGATTCTTTTGTTGCATCACTTGTCCCACTAATTGATGGATGTATCCTAGTAAATTAAAAGAAGCAGTGATTCTTCCAAAATAGAATAATTTACAAAGTTTGTATGTTGTTTTATCTAACATCTAATGTAACAGTTAAACATTCACTTGCTAAAAGAATGTATTTATCATCGTCTATGCTTTCAAAGTATTTGGACGTCGGGTTTATGATAGACAGTCGAATAGGGATTAAAAACAGTTGAGCACTACACTACACTAGTAATTAATATACTGATTATAACTCAAGAATGGTAAATAGTATAGTAATAGTTCATAGGTCAAAATAAGGCTCATAATACAAGGGGCATGAATATGAATAGTTTAGTTGTTTAACAATTATACCATAAAGATATACGCATAGTATTGGCCGATAAATGGATCCCAAAAGTTACCATTCATTAAGCTTATCAGGACATAACAAATATCGGTTCGAGGACTAATTTGAATCGATAAAGAAGTCCACATCTGACGTTGAAGTTAGAGAAAAAAATAATCTTCACACAGCTGGCGAACAAACGACCCAAAAAACATACATCTTAATTAATTCTGATGAAAGGAAAATATCCTGAAGACCACAACTCCAAGTTTCAAAATCACTGCATATCCGCATTTTGATTTTCCAGAGAACTTGGCTTATAAATGTTGTGACGTACGGTGTTCAGAATCTGATACTGATACACGGTATGTTATGCGCTAACCACCAAACGACTACTTGAGCGAGAAAGTGTATGGACTACCGAATGGAATGCACAAATACTCATTCATATATATACAGTGCTATCCTTAGGAAATTGACCCATTGACCCCAATGAAATTCACTTAAAACTTAGGTCACTTCTGGTTGCCATTGATCGACCTATTTTAATTTTGATTGGCTCTCCATATCAAAAGAGCTCCGAGAATCCATACATATTGAGTCTATGTATTGACATTTTCAATTGTAAATTACTTGTTCCCACACTGGTTACTCATTATCTATATATGACAATACAACTTAGAAAAATAAATTTGCTAAAAAGAATCTTTGTTGAACTAAGTGACATCACATTAATCGCTTCCAAATACACGAACACTACTTTGGTCAAGTAATTAAGACATAAGCTTGTATTACTTTGGTCATGATGTTGTTTTCTCGGCTTACTGATATACAGCGTCTATCTTAAGCTCTAATATTACCTCTATACGAAACCAACTTACAGAATTATTTGTCGGATCATCTATTACTGTTCAGTTATTTGTTAATTAAATCAAGAAGATAAGTTTTTAAGTGATAAAAACGGAGGATTCTAAAGTTAAATATTTCATCAATAGCAAAGCCTGACAAATAGGAGATTAGACTGTCTGAAGTGAATTTGTTGGCTATTTATAAGTTACGCATATTTTCCTGAAAATTATATGGAAATTTTATTTACTATTTTTGATATATACTACTACAATAATTAAGTGAAAAATGACTGTAAGCCTTTTAAATAGCTTATTAATACAACTATGAACTAAGTTGTTTTATTTTTTTAACTTTTAGACTTGAAGAAAATCTCGATTCAATAAGGACTGATCTTATTCGTCTAAAGGCTGAATGTCACTAACTATCAATAAGATGAAGTCGTTCGTTGGACTGAGGATAGATAAAACAGCAAGAAATCCAATCTAATTTGTGACCTTTTATAAATTATATATATACGGGATATCTATTAAACTAAACGGATAAAAATGTCATTTGGTTTGAATATAACGATCTATCCAGACACGTAATACCATGATACTCACACATAGTTAAGACAGAAATTGACAGACAAATACATCCCTGGCTTCTGTCACACTGCAGTCTATCATCAAGGTGTACGTTCTTAAAGTCAAAATTCGTTAGTATAGACACTGCATAAGATCTGTTTCTGCACACCAGTTTTAAGTGGAGACGATAGGTTACAAGTTTATTGGGACTTTATGATACAAACTTTTAAGGAAGTGATACCCAGATTTTACGAGTTAAAATCAGCAAACGCCATATTTCTGAACATTGCTTTTTACAAAAACTGTGTGACATGAACAACTTTACTGAATCAATAACATCAAATTAAAAAACATCAAAAACTTGAAAAAAGTTGCTCCAAAACATTAATGGATGAATGCCAGAAATATAAGACAGGAAGGACAACGACAATGCTAGTCACATCAATGATCCCTATGCAACATATTCTTCAGTTGTTATTGGGCAGCAAACAACATAACGGATTTTGATTTAAACTAAAATAGACAACGTAACCACTCAACACACTGGATAATCATCAAACCTTTATCAATCTTTTGTTTCGATAGAACAATGAGAATACGGAGTTCATCTGAAAATGTGATATAATTGCGCTATACATTTCAAACAATCCGGTCACACATACTTGTCAGGGCATTTTATATGAAAATTAATAAACGTCAGGTTACGGGATATTGTTTTTGTGCACATAAGGTGGGTTTAAATTTACGGATAGCCAGTGCTTCAATGAACTTGAGGATTCGTCCTTGACAATTTCTATGCAACATCTTAAAAGCTGTAGTGATGTCAATTCGGTGCCCCGTTTCAATTATGTGTTTTGCTGTCGATGTTCATGGTTTTCTACCTCTCATGTTGATCGGGTCATTTGATACTAATTGGTTTTGAAGTCATCTAGGCACATGTTCAATGACCCTTGATTGCATTGTTCGACTGCTACTCCATGTATGTCCGCACAAACATGTAAATTGGTAATACAATGGAATATGACGCAATCACTTGTGCATTATCTAGGTTTGCTTGAAATCATGGTCTGTCTTTTCAGTCACAACCAGTTTAGCAGTATAATAGCTTTCTTCGATAGCTGCTTTCAACATGTGTCCAGAAGGCTTCAAAATCAATCGTATTAGTTTATAATTAAAAACAGACGTCATTTTAAAACCACTATCTATATGTTAAATTGCTGCTTCGTCGCCACTACTATATACCTGGGATTAAAAATTGAACAGAAAAGACTAATTCGACGATTCCCAATACCTATAGTAACGAACCTGTCTATGAAGAACTCGATTGGGTATCTCATACTCCACTTAAAGTACTTGGATAGTTCTAGGAGCATTTTGTGGCCCTTTAACTGACTCCAATTAGATCATATGTTGATCGCTATTGAATGATTGCTATCGACATAACTCGCGTTAGTGAATAAAAGTATTAAAATAAGTCAAATACTAGAATGGATTTTCGAATACACATAATTTGTACAATTGTTAACCGGAACAGATAATCAGAGACGTAACGAAAGGAGCAAAGACGAGAGTGAAACGAAACGACGCGCAGTGGAGGCATGTGAGCCAACTCCTCTTACTAAATATTTATAGTCACACAAAAATAGGTTACAAACATGTGATGAGTAGGATAAGATGTACACACATACGCTTATATAAAAAGTCAGGGTTAATAAGTCAATAATTAAAAAGGTCAAAACGTGACTCAAGAAAATGGATAAATTGTGTGTCCCGAAACTAGAATAAATTATATAGGCTTGACAAAGTAACCGGCACTACAGGCAAGCGAATTCTAGTGGGTTACGCCTCCTCACTCATGCTTATGTAGACCGCATTAAGGACACGGACTGAGAAATATCTTCGTTTGCTTAATTGACATAGGTCAATAAGATCGTGTTTAATCAAGTTTATATCATACCTATATGATGTACAAAAAAAATTTCCAACAATGACCGTGTAAACAGCATGGTTAGAATCTAGGTAACTTGCCCCTTTTGAAGATGTGTACCGTTGAATATAATAGTAATCTCCGGCGGACAGTGTATAAGTATTAGACAATCTTTTTAATGCTACGAGTATATCGGTTAAAAGAATCAACATCTCACTAAGATGTTATATAGTGAACGCTACCGAATCACTTATTTTGTGATATTTAAGTTTATGAATAGTGTATAAACATTAACGACTATGAACTGTGTACCTTTACTGTACGTTGACGTTTTAATGACGAAAAAGTGGGTGGTGAAATCACAGAAAATTAGGGTTTTGTAGAACATTAAGAAATTTTGAAAGGTGTGAAAGCTATGATTAATTGAATTCGAGATATCTACTGTATGCACAGTAAGTAGTGAGTTTACAATGGATGCCATAGTTAAAACCTACATGAAATATAGACAACTAAAAATAAAACTAATCGCGAAATACGGTCAAGGTGGACACGAGTAATAATCCTCTAACAAAATCTACGAATGAGAATACCTCTTTCATAGGACTTTAAACTGTCATTTTGTGTATAACGTTTCCTCAACTAATAGTAGTTGCTTCATATGGATTATTGCCAGTTATTTACATTCTATTGTTCATATCCACAAATGACTTACTCCTGGAGAAACCTACCGATTTCACTATTGCTTTAAAAGCATTAACAGAAAAAAAGTACTCGGAAATTCAAATACCAGGCACTACTTAAGGGGAGTTGATGTGCAAATTTTTTTATTTATTTGAACACATAAGTCAGTCAGTCAGCTACAACGTAGGACCAGGAAAATATATGCATCGGTGTAAGTTGTCAAACCTCACTAGTACAACAAGATGAACACCAAATTCATAGCAGTTACTTCAATGATAGTAAAAAAAACATTTCATTTACAGACATGATACAGGGAGAAAGAACTAGTTCGTAGAAAGAAAGGTATAAAGTGACTTTAATCTCAGGGTTTAAGGGAAAACAAAGATTGTTTACACCTATGCCATTGTGATCGATTCTGAGCTATGACACCAAGAAACTCCAAACATTGGTTACGGTAGTCGCGCGAACCTCAACCAAGTAGTCTGAGTCTACTAACATGGCTCACGCCACGAGTTAGTGACTTGGAAGACTGATGCCACGTGTTGGTTTAATCACCCATAACTTTCTTCCAACCATTCCCAACACTAGTCAGCAGTGCGCGTCGTGATAATCAGTGTTCAGGCATACGTAACACGTGACCCGACCATTTCAGTTGATGAATATTCACAAACTCACCAACTGACTTGCCATCGTTCCCTAATGCCTTGCGTCTAACCTCACTATTACTTACCCAGTGATCTCAGTAATATTTCTAAGGCATCTGTGATCAAATGCTAGTAGCTTACGAGTATCTTCGACTCAATTTATTCATTTGAACACATAAATATTGGTACAAGGGGACACCAAATATATATGCGCCACACAAAACAATGAGAATGGGAAAAGAAAATGGGTAAGGAGCTTAAAGGAAAAAAAGAACAATAACGAACAGATTAATGTACGGTAGTGTAATAATAATAATAATAATAATAATAATAATAATAATAATAATGGGGGAAACGGAGAGGTACAATCAGAAGAAATCTTTCAGCTAATGAAGATACAACCATGAAGAAAGCAAAAGGAGGTTACAGCAGGATCGCCACTGGCTTCTATTCTGAGCCATATCTGACAACGTCTCTAGCCACTGTGTTGCATCATCTCTAGGACCCCAGCCAGGGAGTCGTGAAGGACCAACAGAAGCCAGTCCTTTGCAGCTTTCTTTCATACCACGACACCATGTCATGAACTGACCACCTCTCCGCTTCTTCCAACCAGTCCCAGAGTCGGCAAATAATGCACGACGTGGAATTCTCTGGGACGATATTCGTAGAGCATGTCCAAGCCACCGAAGTCGGTGTTTCAAGATGGTGACACCAATTGCATTATCATCTCTGTGCCCGAACACACGATGCCGAACCTCTGCATTACTAACATGGTGTTGCCACTGGATGTCAGCAATCCTTCGGAGACAGCGACGATCGAACACAGAGAGTTGTCTAACGTCCTCCACTCCGAGAGGCCAGGTTTCACAAGCATTGAGCAAAACTGCTCTCACCGACGTGTTGTAGATCCGACCTTTTACAGCCAGACTAACGTCACGAAGGCGCCAAAGGTGGCCTAGATTGGCATAAGCCGCTCTGGCTTTCACTATTCGTGCATTTATCTCATCACTCACACCCCCACCAGCACTCATGCAGCTACCCAGATACACGAACTTCTCGACTACTTCTATCTGTACAGAAACGACGTGAACCCTTTTTAAAGATAAGGACAACTGTCGACTCATTCCATGACGTTTGTACACTATCTAGCTCACAAACCTTTGTAAACAACGTCGTCAGTTCCTTAGCCAGAAAGTCAAAACCAGTGATCTCAGCAATATTTCTAAGGCATCTGTCATCAAATACTAGTAGATTACGAGTATCTTCAACTCTTAATGGCCATGTCTCGCTGCCGTAGATTAAAACAGAACGAACTTCTGCGCAGTATACTCGTTTTTTTATTGAGACGGATGTCAACTTCGCCATAGGTGACGGAAGTTGGCAGAAGCCAAACGAGCTTTCTGAATCCGTGCAGAATTCCGTCAGACACCCGCCCATCATGGCTGATCAAACTTCCAAAATAAGTGAAGTTTTCAACGCGTTCGACTACTTTACTCCCTATCCTTAGTTCACGTGTTGATGCAGGCCAATCCTGAAGCAACAGCTTGTATTTAAAGGGGGAGAAGCGCATCCTGATATTGTTGCTCAGTGCTACAACAGGACACTGCATTTTACCGGCGTCCTCGTCAAACAGGACTGTGTCATCTTTGTATTCTAAGTCGATAAGTGGATCTCCTGGTAGGAGATCAATGCCCGAGAATTCTGTCGACGGTGATTCTGCCCTATTACGTTTACTGAATTCGGTAAAACAAAGTTTGAGTCTGAGATTTTAGTTATTGAAAACCAAGTGACTCAATTACTAAATTATTATGAGTGGCGATTACTTAAAACAAGAAATTACTTTTTGTAAACACTGTTGTTAAGAAAGTAGTTCCATCATGTACACCGATTAGACATCGGGATGATCTAAAACGTACCCGATGAAAACTGATTATAACTCATCAAGTGGTAACTATAACATGATTTGTAAAGAAGCTCTAGTCAATTGCAAAAGCTGATAATTAACTGGAAATATCAGAGTTAAAGCACATATCATGTTGTACGTGCATTATGCTACCTACCTTAATGAATACATGGAATTCTAACCTTGATATTGAACGATCAATTAATTGTAACTGAGTAGCTATTTATTTACAACCAATTGAATTATATGTAAACATGTAATTTATTGAATTAGTACTAGTGTATTCCTTGTATTACCTACTTTTATTACGTATCATTTTATTAACAAATCAGTAGTTTATAATATAGGTCTATTCTAATATTGTTAGTTTACGGCATAAAATTCGTGAAATTTGTGAAAGTCATACACTCTTTGTTTCATCTTCAGCCTCATGTGACTATAGACCAGATTGTACAGACTGACGCTTCACAGCCGGATAACGATGCTAAAGATGACACAGTGATATCATGCGCTATCACATGGATTTCAAATGATTTAGAAAACT